GATAGGGCTACCCTTAGCGGACACCACTGTGCTCTTGCCACAGACATCTCCTTTCAGCTCTTTAGTGCTTGATAATTGGGCCAGAAAAGAAGGGAACGATGCATAAAAATCAGAGAAGATGGAACTCCCCAGCTGATCCCACAGGTCTGCTGTTTATTAGATCACAGCTCATGCTCGGGCAGCATCAGGCCAATGTCATGCAAAGACCTCTTGGAAAGTTCGCTATTCTCCACAGCCTAGTTATCGATGGTCTCTTTATTTATGGACATCCAACAAGTTGGGTGGAAGGAATATTCTCACCCAGTTCTCCACACTTACTGCAAATTCAGCCTTTCCCCAGCCTCAACCACTGTAAAAGTTCAGAGGTGCCCCCACTGGATTCAGAAACTCAGTTTTCTTGGGCACAGTCAGAATTGATGATGCCAGACATAACAACATAAAGTTGTTCACTTGAAGCCATTGTCTAAGAAGCTGACAGAGACTTCCGGGAGAACATGGCGGACAGATAACAGCAACTACCAGAGGCTCTCTGAAAGACTCGGCTCAGAAGCCAGGAATGGTGTGGACTAAGGAGACATAAGCAGGTGGAGATATGCTCTGCTGACTCAGGAACGAACTGGGCTGAGAGAAACCAACTTGGAATGCAGTCCTGGTGCTAGAACAGGAACAGAAAAGCCTCGGTGTGGAGGCTGGACTCCGCGCCATTGTAAGCCGCCATTTGGGTTTCCCTCCACGCGGCGGCTGGCTGCCTCTACAGTGGCTCAGCAAGGAGAGAGACACGCAGAAGCTCTGAGAACGGCAATCTGCGAACGGCAGGGAGGTGTGCACTGACTTGTGGTGAGGTGAGTGAAAGAAACTGAATTTCTACCACAGTTTGACTCCAGCAGAGGACTTTCTGGGCCCGAGCAGTCCTGCGGGAGCAGGGCACGGTGGCGACTCCAGCCACACATCCCCCTCTCTGGCGGGATTGGTGAAAAGTGCCTGGCCTGCGTGACGCTGCCGGCGGACCTGGTAGGCTGTCCCAACCCAGATCCCAGAGCCTGACAGTGGCCAGGAGGGGAGACGCGTAGGCTGCCTGGTCCGTAACTCCCTGGTGCGCAGCGGTGAGCGGGAACACCTAACTGGCACAATTTGATCAGGCTGTGGCTGACTGGGAGAGAAGCTGGGCCTCTTATATAAGCTTGCATATATAAGGAACAGAGAAGAAGAGGCAGCATGGGAAGAGGCAGCAACAAGAAAGGCTCCTCGGCCCCCAATTCTGAGAAACAGGCAATAGCAGACACCGCACCAATACACATAAGGCACCATATAGAGAGCCTCATAGACCAATTCAGGAATGAAGTTATCAACGACCTGAAGCTAGAAGTATGCAGAATAGTTAGAGAAATGCTAAGTACCACCCAAGAAAAAACAGGTGGTGGAATGGAAGAACAGAAAAAAAGGGGAGAATTGTTTGATGGAGAAAACAGAGAAAGCATAGAATACGTGAAGCAGGTTCAAAGGGACTACCAAGATACTAAGAAGTCTATAGAAGACTGGCATAACAGCTTGAAAGAAACTAAGGACAGACTATCTGAACTGGAGGGCAGACTTGTAATATGGGAGAATGAAATGAAAAACTTCTTAAAAATAACAAAGAAACAAACAGCAATAATACAAAGACAAGAAGATGATAAGAGGATCCATAACTTAAGGATTAAGAACATAAAAGAAGAAGTAGGGACACAAACAAGTGAACTACAAAAGCTACTCACAGAAATAATCCAGGAGAATTTTCCTAATTTAGCAAAAGGTAAAGATACTCAGATGTATGAGGCATACAGGACCCCAGCTACCTACAACCCAAACAGAGCTACACCCAGGCATATAATAATCAAAATTCCAGAAATTCAATACAAGAACAGAATATTAAAAGCTGTCAGAGACAAGAAACAGACCACTTACAAGGGAACACCCATCAGAATTACAACAGATTTCTCTGCACAAACCATCAAATCACGAAGAGCGTGGGGGGAAATAATTCAAGCTTTGAAAGATAATAATCTCCAGCCAAGTTTGAGATATCCTGCACAACTGTCCCTGGAAATTGATGGAAAAACAAGGTGCTTCCAGGATAAAGAGGAACTGGGGGAATTTGCAACCACCAATTCAACTCTACAGAAAGTATTGCAGGATATTCTAAAAAAAGAAAAATACAAAGAATCCAGAAATAATGGCAGAGAGGCCACAACGAATGGAGCAGAGAACAAAATGAAGAAGACAAACTGACAGCTACTGACAGAAAAAGAGCTCAACAGAAATGAGGCAGAGAAGATTGGATGATAGGAACAGCTATTTTGGAGAAAATGACATCTTAATAGGTAATACTGATTTAGTATCATCTTGTTTTGAAGTCTCATCTAGCTTTTGTCCTTCTGTCTCCAATGGTCTAAATAGGCTGTATCTTATTGGATTTTATTATGTACGATAGTATAAGCAAAAACCTTTTAAAGACAAGGAGATTATACAGAAACCATTGTTCATTTTCTGTTAGTCAATTCTAAATACTCTGTAATGCTGTCATTCTCTTGAATGGTTTTACATTGTTTTGATATACTTAATGCTACAGTATACGAAGTTGTACTCAAGGATTTCAAAGAAAGAGACAATATGGTAACTACTTTTAGGTTAGGATTATCTGGTGGTGAAACACTACTCTGCTTAAATGGTTATGTTTTGATCTGCGCTGTTTCGTTGTTATGCCCTCTTTTATCTCAATCTCCACTCCATTATTTACTTTTTTATCTTTATCCTTTTAATTAAAGGAAAAAAATAGCAGGATATATTATAGTAACCCACTTTGACTTTTTATTACCTTGATTTAAAGCCCTGTATTACTCTCACCATCTGGTTTTTGACTGATGTTCCCCTATTCTGTTTTGCTGGATAGTATCAGGTTCGAAAGTTTAGGGATCAGCTATGAAGATAATGAGATTCATTATGACGCCCATTCTCGTTGACTTTTATCTACTTTTGAAGACCTACAATGTCTCCAATGTTTTGGTTTTGTCAGTTTTATTCTTTACTGTTTTGTTCAATTGTATTATAACTAACGATATAGGCAATTCTATTAGAGATAGCGGGAGGCATTATGGTAACCATTGTTGATCACCTTGTATTATGTTTTTACATTATCTATTATGTCCCCCCTTTTGACTTGACCGATTCTGTTCTGTTATGTCACATTTGGTTTTACTCTCTTCCAAAAAAGTAATAAGAACCGTGGGAGCAATGAAACCCAAAATGTGTAATAGTCATGGTACAAAAGAGAGGAAAAGAAAGTGCTCCAAACTATATAACTGCATGTATATTTAAATGTATAAGATAGAAAATGATATCACAGAGTTTTATTGGATCAATGAACAGAACTGTTTGCAGTATCATTGATGGAATGTCCACTTTACAAGCTTTAATTTTGTGACTTGAACAATTATTTCTAAGATGACAATATGTAATCCATTAACTAGTGATTTCCTACTGTTCATTTTTTTTTCTGTAAATCTGTATAACTTGTACCCTTTCCCTGCTTTTTTTTTTCTTTTCTCCTTAAATAAAATTTAAAAAATAAATTAAAAAAAAAAAAAAAAAAAAAAAAAAAAAAAAAAAAAAGAAGCTGACAGAGTCCTAGGCCCAGAAAAAAACAAACAAACAAAAAAAAAGACAAGGGAACTCCTGTATTTTGGCTTAAGGATTTGGGAAGACTGCTTGGAATTCAAATTCCTGCAGTGTTGGTTAGGCCACTCGAAGCATCCAGTTTCACTCCCTGTGAAGTCTACTGGAAACCTCCTAATAGCACTGGCTACTTCTCTGGGCCTGTCCCCCAATTCACTCATATCTCTTTCTCAATTAAGCTCTACTCCTTATCAATAGCAAGGTGAGTGCCTCTCCCCCCAGCAAACTGTGCTCTTACACTACACCCAAGCTGCTATGAGATGCCAATACCTCACAGCTGCTCCGGCCAGTAACTCCAAGCCTACAGATTCTTCCACAAAAATTGACAGCCAGGGCAGAAAATGTTGACCCCCTACTCAAGTAGGAACAGTTCCAACAACCCTTGTACAGACTGAAGCTAGTCTCCAGCAGAGCCCCAACATTGCTTAGCCTGCTCCTCCTTGCCCTGTTCTTTTAGCCTCTTCTGCTAAAGGTCCGTCCTGCGCAAGCCGCTTGCACTGAAGTTCCCATCTGGGATGAGGTTTCTAGAGATGTTAAACTAACATGAGCGCTTTATTCTTCGTGTTTGCACTCAAGGTGCTAGGAAAGGGCCACTGTTCTCTCTTTTCCTCCTAGCTCCATGCTTCTGAGACAGTGGTGCAACACTCTGTCACTTAAGCAACAGGTTGTGACAGTCAGTCATAAACCAGAGGCTCTGTGACTAGCTGCTTCTTAACTTCACCAGGCTTCTTATGGTATCAGGATTGTTCTCACCATGTTACATACTAGATTATACTTGATGCCCCCAGCAGCTTTTGAGGAGGAACTTAATTATCTTACCAACAGACACTGAAGCACTGCTCCTCTTTGCCTGAACAGGGCCCAGACTGGGAGATAATAATTCAGGCTGCAGAGCCCAGGCTCTAGAGCCAAAACCCTGGCCTACCAATTCTCAGGTTTATGATTAGAGCTCAAGGTCAGCTAGAAAAGGATCTTCTCTGCAGCCACAGAGAGGTCTTTTTTTAGCTGTTTCTGGTTTACCTTTTTACTTCCACAATTTGAGTGGAATGAGATCCTAGGTATGATATGTGCATATGTGCATGTTCTTGTTGAGGTCAGTAAAGTCAAAATGCCAAACAGCCTTGGCTCAGTTGTTACTGTCTTTACAGCTACTTTCTGGCCCATAGACTTCAGGCTAGAATCTGAGCCACAGAGATCAGTAACTGCTGTGTCATTAATTATGACCTCAGAGGATTTTGAGCCTCTACCAGCCAGTGTCATGTGACAGTAGCTCCTTTGATGGGGTAATAGTTAATACCATGGCCAGCATCAGTCCCTGTGGTGTCACTTAAGCCAGTACATGGTGGCCTGCAGCTCAAATGGTTAGTTCTCTTCTAGCTCCCTTGGGCTGGGCCTCCTCATCCCACTGAGCCTTCTATAACAGCCATGTAGTCAGGGACCTTCAGTTTTGTGGGGCCCATAGCATCCCTTCTGTTTGTACCTTACTAGGCAGGAGCAGTTCCAGAGCATTCTGACCTAAGCCTTAGACATGGTCAGGATTTAGGCAGGACAGTTTTCCTAGGGAGCTCCAGAAACCCCTGTGGCTGACTAGGAAACCCCAATACAGTTTGGGTAGCAGTCAGAGGATGGTAGTAGAAATGACCTAGGATGGCTCATCATAAAGTCAAGACTGCCCTGGATTCTACAGTGGTCCATGCCCCTGAGAAAAGTGGATCAGCCAAGTCATTTTCAGGCTATCCTCATGACTGAAGAGAGTTGGAAGGGTATACATAGGGTGACCATCAGGATCCCTGGGTTCCCGTGTTAGTGCTGCTTCTGACATGTAGGACTGTCTGAGGCCAGATAGCTCAGCAGTAGGAACACAGAGTGCCTATTCTGAATCTCATCTGGCCTCTAATTTTTTTTACCAGTACACAGGCAAAATAATTGTAGCCTTCTGTAGCCTTCCTTCCCTCCTCTGAAAAACTGGGGTGATGATAATGTGCTCTCTATCAATGCAGAAAATTAAGTGGAGTTATGGGCCAAGATTAGCAGGCATCATGTGCCACCAATCCACCATTGTCCCTACACTGGTGGTCTCTTGTTTTCCAGATATGGCTGAGGGGGCCACAGATTAACTCCTATGATGCAATCAGAAGCTCAAAAGAAGTCTCGAGAGCATAAAAAACACAACGTGAAGTCACAGGAGAAATTTGCCAAGAATTTTCCATACAGGTACAAGATGTACAGAGCCCTAAAGTGAAGCCCCACTTCCCCTACTCATCTCAAAATCCCCAGAACAGAGAATGAGAAGATGGAGTTAAAAGCAATCACTTATCCATGAGGAGTCTCATGGGAAACCTTATGATGTGTTGACAGTTGGGGATCTACCTTCTTTGTCCATTGCCCCCTCATAGTCTAAAATGAAGGATCTCTGAATAGATGCCCAAGAGCCATGTAGATTAGTATTTATGAAGCACTCATTACAATGCTTGGCAAACAGAAAGCTCTAGGTGACAGCTCCTTTAGGTGGTGACAGTTGAAGGTCACCTCAACACTCAGTTGCCTGTTGTAGGTTCTCTTGGTTGACAGAGCCCAAGACTGAGTCCCTACAACCCTGGAAAGTGAAGAACAAATCACTCAAGGATCAGCTACCCCTTCAGAAGAAGTTAGTACCAACAAGGTCCATTCCAATCCCAGGGTAAGTTCTTTCACTGGGCAGCCCTTATGATCACAGACACACAAACACATGCATCCATGATATCCCACATACAGGGGTTCATACATGAAGAAACTAAAATCCTAGCAAAGATCTTCCCAAAGAAAATAGACGCACAGATGCATATGTCCTCTCCTACACAGACATTGAAAACAATAGAGATTCTAGCACCAGTTGATAGAGGGCATTTTGCACACTCCAGCCCTGTTCTAATGCCTTGTCCTGTCCCTCCAACTCAACTCTGGGCACTACAGAGCGGGGCCCTCCGGGCAAATGATAGCATCTGCTCCACTTGGCCATTGTCTAGCCCCTGTGTATTAGCTCTGACTACAGGAAGCCTCACTAGGATAAAAATGTAGGGTCAAGTCATCAAGATGCACACCTGCTCCCCTGAATAAATACCTAGAGAAATAATACGCACACACAGGCAAACACAGAGAAACACAGACCCACACCCACGAGCAGCCCTGGTTTGAGCCCTCAGGCCTCACTTTTCCTCCTTTATTTGACTATAAGAGCATTAGATCTCCAGGCTTCAGTTCTAATTCTCTGAAGCAAACTGGCAGAAGTTGAGCTGCTGAGGCTCTGGGGTCAGAGAGTTCAGAGGTCCCTTCTGTGGGGGTATAATCCAGCCATGTGAGACCTGAGGAAGGGAGGCAATGCACAGGCTGACCTCACAGACACAGAGCCACACCTGGACAAGCCGGGATGAGGGACATGGCCAAGATTCCTAGCTCCAGTGTAAGGATGCTGTGGAATCTGATCCTGGACAAGGAAGTCAGGGTGTGGGGAGTGTCTTTCAAGAGGACAACCCCAGGGCAGAGAGCCAAATGAAGCAGATGGCAAGTGTGTCGGGGAGCACAGGAGATTAGTCAAAGAGAAATAGCTAGGGAAGGGGCAGCACCCAGGGCCTACCTACTGTAGAGAGCTGGTACTTCTCTAAAGCTGGAGTGGGGGGTTCAGACACAGACATTAGAGAAGGTCTGGGGCTATTTGTCCTCTTCTAGATAGCAACAGATTAGCAGAGTGAAAGTGGGAGAGAGACCTCCATGCTGTCCTTTGGCTCTGAACTTCTGGCAGTGCCTCCTGCTAGGCACCAATCCTACAAGCCAACCTCTCAGGGCCCAGAGCAAGTAGAAACAAGTAACAAGTGGAAGGAGTGAAAGGAAGAATCAGGGTCCTTGAGGAGCAGATGCTCAGAATAGAGGAATTGCATGTGCAAATACACTGATGATAAAGTCCTACATAAGGAATTTGAAGGGCTAAGAGGTAGGCAGGTGGTGGGTCACCCAGGGTGCTAACTACCAGAATTTATCTGTTTTTAACTGATACAAATGACCTATAATGAGGTCTGTGTAGGCACTAGTAAGGGCAGAGAAGATGGTCTCAGGTGGGGAGGAAAGATGGAGTGTTCGGTGGGAAGCTGGGTGAGGAAGATGGCGAGAGGCAGTCCTTGATGAGAAGCATGACTTAGAGAATGCTTACCCAACCATGAAGCCCTCAAGTAGATGGGGGAAGACTTGAGACCAAGTCCCTAATCCTGTGCCAGGGAGGGGCACAGGGAGAAAGCATTAGAAACCTACAAGGTTCCACCCTGGATGTTGATGGCTGGAGGACCAGTGTGGAAAGGTGAACCATGTTCCTTGGGCTTCCTGGGATGCCACTGGGCTTCAGAGTTTTTCTGTGGTAGAGACTGAGATAAGTCTGGCTGTGAGAGGATGTGGTACCCTGCTACCTATGGCATTGTACTCCTTCTCGGGACTATCTGGCTGCAGCCAGCATGGCTCCTGAGAGTCAAGTGTGGCTCCATGTGGCTTCTCTAGGCTCGGGACTCCAGATTTTACATCACCAACCTGCTCCCACCTACCACCCTTGCTGCCCACAAGATGCAACCCTTGGGAATTGAAGTTACTAAGCCACCGCTTCCCCAGACAATTTGCCCGTGAACCATTCCTCCCCACACTGATGTTGACCACTTCTAGACCAATGAGGTAAGGGGGCTATCTAGAGCCCTGTCCTGGAACCTCACTCTGTGTGGCCTCTGTGACTCATCTTCTCAGCATGCTCTTGGCAGTGGCTACAATGACTTAGTGAAGGGAACAGTCATTGTGACCATGGAAAAACAGAAGCTCGCCATCTCCCCAGAAAACACACCATACTAATAAACTTTGCACTTTCAAATCACATTTTCCCTTGGACTGGTTACTTTACCTCTGTGAGCCTCTATTTTTTTAATTTGTAAAATAAGTGTAATAAGTTTAATCTTACAGAATTGATGTGAGGATTTAAAAAGTGACTATCACTTCTAGGGTTTATCCAAACACTCACACATGTAAGTCTAGTTATTCTTGCAACATGAAATAGAAGACTGAAAACCACCGAAATACTTACTAATAAGAAACTGTTTATACATATATACCTGAAACACTAGGATAGTCATTCAAATAAAGGAATAATTCTTTACATATGGATCTGGAATGATCTACAAGGTATATGAAGATATTTTTTAACCCAACAGAAGTATCTTACAAGCTACCACTTGTGTATATTAAAACTGTGTGTGTGTGCGTGTGTGTGTGTGTGTGTGTGTGTGTGTGTGTACATGCGCATGTATTCTGATGTGTAATCACTATCCTTTGGGGAGAAGTGGAGAACATGGGGACAGGATGTGGAGAGAGGCATACTTTTTTCTAGTTTTCATATGTGAATTTAATACCATATTGTTCCTGAATTACAAATTAATGATAACAGTTTATAATACAAAATATATAGCCTGTGACAAATTAGGGATGGACATGATTCCTGTGGAGTGAATAACAGCAGCACTATGTCTCACGATGTTTGCTGAAGATTTAAAGGATCCCTCCCCTTTGCTCTATAATACAAAGATCCAGAAAGTCATGTTGCAGTCCTTGGGAGGGTAAATAAAATTGGGGTGGGGGCACTACTTGTAGCTTTCTTCCTGAAGAAAGTACATATGGACTCTAGTTATTCAGGTGAGCCAGTGACCCTTAAGAAGGCCCTTGAAATTTGAGGGCTGAAATGGTGGGGGGAGAGTCCCAACCCAATTTGCAGAAGGAAGACTGGAGTAAGTTCTATTGTAATACCTGGGGAAAAGACACAGAGGACTGCTGCTGTGTGCCACAGCTTCCAGAATTCTCCACCGTAGGCGGGAAACAAGTCAGAGGAACCAGAAAGGGCCACTCAGGTGGTACAGCTCAGTTTCCAGCAGAAGCCCTCAAACCTACAGAAACAGAGAACATCAGAGTACCCTCAGGTACTCTTTGGGCTGGAACCAGAATAATCTTCATTTTGATTACATATTGCCTTGAGAAGATTTTCTTCAGAATGTGGGGCAAAACTGGTTTGCAGTCAAGGTCCACACCAGTTACCCAAATCCAGAGTCAGCCATAAAAATGTGCATGGTCTTTAGGTTAATAATTCTTCTCCCAGGTATTTATTCTTCTTCCAGGTATTTATTTTAAAGGAAAATGAAGTGAAAAAATACTTACTGATCCCTGACTTCTGCTGAAATAATACCCTTAAAGAAAAAACAAACCCTTGAGGAGTGAGTCATCCATTACAAAATGCCACACAGAGAAGTGGGAAACAATCTAAAGGTTTGACAACAGATGATGGTTTAGCAATATTCTCTATGCAAAATTATTCCATAAACATTGAAAATGATCACATGGTATTCCAGACAGCAACATGGGCATGTTTGATTAGCCTCTTAGGTGATGCCATCTGGATCTTCATTTGTGAAGATCCAGTGAAACATGCATGAGCACATAGAAATGAAGAGGCACATTAGCATGTTAGGGTGGTGTGGGTCACTCAGCTTCCATCACACTTGGGGGAGGCATGTTCCCTGGTGGCCCTAACTCCCTGCATGCCTGGCTTCCCGGTGCTCAGGCTCAGAGGCCTGGTGGTCAGCAGCAGCCCTCAGAGGTTGGCACGTGCTTGAGACTGTCAGGGTACCCTTCCTAGAACTGGAATGTCAAGGAATGTGGATTAGGGGTAGGAGTAGTGTTCCCAGCCTCCCTTGCAGATGGGCATGGCAGTAAGGTTAGGTTCTGGCCAATGAGGTTGGACTGGAAATGGGAAGTACAATCATTTATATTGATTCTCTTAATATTCTGCGGCCTGAGAAGTGAATGGCTCCCTATTATAGGCCAATGAAAGTATTTAGAAGCAACAAAAGAGAAGGAGCCTGTGGAACCATGGAGGAACTTTTCCACCAGTCCTCCTTGCCCTGGCTTTGTCTTCACTCTGAGCAGTTGCTAAGCCCCTACCCTCATCAGTCAGCTGTTATTTGCAAACTAAATAACGCATAAAATAGTGCCTTAACAAGGCACGAAGGAGCCACTTTAGGCAACTTTTAAACCTTGAAAATAAATGTCCCAGGAAGCTGCATGCCTGACAAAGCCATAAAACAGAACTGGAAACAAAAAACAAAAAATCATCTTACACTAAAGTTGGGGTGAGGGGGGACACATTTTCCTGACAGTGAAAACAGGAAGAGCACCAGAACACTTAAAAGTATCTTAAGCAACTTTTTGTAACCCAGTCTCTGAACACCACCCATCGATAATCAGGAAGTTCATCTTTTAGAGAAGAGTGGAAAGTTCATCCTGTAGAGCTTCAAGAAGTCGCGCTGATAGAAGGCGCTGAGTTCCTGTAACCACAAGCGAGAACTTGGCTTGCCCTCCAAGTCCATGCTGAGGCAGCTTCCCCGGCCTACAACGTCATAGAGAAAGCTTCACAAATGGCAGAGCACATGCTCGCGCTTCCCGGACTCATTGAAAGGCTCATTGAGGGCTCCTCGCGCGAAGTCCATGGATTCAGCAGGTAACCCAGGAATTCTGCAAAGCATAAGTCTTTGCTATGTGCCAGGGTGTCAGGGTGTACACCAGAGCACAGGCGCCGCACTTGTGCATGCCATAGCGCGGCTGGGAGGCCTCCTGAATTTTTTGCTGTAGGCAGATGCTAGGCGCTCCAAAGGCTGAGGTACAAACAGGAAGGCCACGGGTGAGTGCGGACTCTGCAGGAGACAGGGCTTCTCTCAGAGCTGCTTGTCTAGCGCATAGCTGGTCACAGTGGGGAGCTCTCCAGCTCTGTTGCTGTGCTGAGGTGACTCACCCAGGGACTGTCAGGAATTGGGCAGAGCACCTGAATTTGAACCCAGAGCTGCCACCAGCCACCATGGTTTAGGCCCAAGGCCCTGTCCTGTACTTGAATTTGGAAAAGATGGAATCTAAGCTTGCAGAGGCAGGGCAAAGGATATGAATAATTAGGTGTCCTACATCCATCACAGGGCACCAAAGAAATACAAAAATAAATTGTGACAGTGTCTGAATAAGCCCAGATAGAGTATGACAACAGTGTGCCTAGCATAACTACTGGCACAACTTGTACACAGTTTACTAAAAGTAGGACACTATGTAAGAACAGTAATTCTGCTTAATTCCTTTGTTCCCAAATAGGCAGAATCAATATGACCACACTTCCAAAACTGCAATCTCAATAAATTATCAATAGAATTTTTATCACACAACTAGAGAAAACAATTGTAAAATTCATTCAGAATGAAAAGGGATCTGCCATAGCAAAAGCAATACAAGGCAACAAAAGTGAGAAAGGGGGCATCACAATCACAGATTTCAAGTTATGCTACAAAACCTTAACAATATAAACAACAGCATGGGCAAGTTGGCACAATGCACAGGCCACTGGGGGGAGGTCCAAACCTCAGCCTTTTCCTGTGAGTCAGTGCCATTCACAGAGTATAGGGGAGGAGAGCAAGAAACCAAGGCCTCCCCATGAGTTGGCACCACTCATGGGATGACAGGAGGAGATCCAGACACCAGCCCTTTCTGGCACACAGGCTGGGAGACAAAAGGAGCCAAAGTCCTCCCCCAAACCTGCTATAAGTGACCAGCTGATCCAGAGAAACAGGCTATGATGATAGCTTTTGAGGTAAAATACAACTTAATGCTTGTAGTGTTTAGTGTTTCACTGACTTTGCAGTTTTAAAGCTGGTAGTCTGATCATCCATTCAGAGGAAAACTGATAGAATTTTTGGTGCGGCTAAAAAGATAAATAATAAAAGTGATAAATGAAATAAAAGTGGCCTTTATTTTAAGAACACAGAGAGAGAACCCCCGACCACTGAAGTCTGCCTTTTCTCTCTGCCAGGCACGTGGGCATACATACAGCTTAGGTTTGGGGTGGTGCCTAAGGGACATTATTGATGCACAAGTAGCCCATTGGAATTCATTTCACCCCACAGGTAAATTGCCCAGGGGCGGGAAGGTGACTCAAGATTGAGCCCTTTGGTTCCACCTCCCAGCCTCCTACTGCTACAGTGTCCCATTTAGGGCAAAATCCTTTCAAAACAATATGCAGTGTAGCATCTATGAGGGATCTCCTTCTGCCAATGATAGCATTGTTAATTCCCTATTATCTTGTTCTGAAGTCCTCTATCATTTTCATTGTTTTGTTTGGCTGGGTTTTATTCAGTTTTGTCTTGTTTGATTTTGTTATGTCCAATAGCATGGGCACCTATTTCAAAGATAACAAGATATATTATGGCAGCCACTTTGGGTATACATTATCTTATTTGAGGTCCTTTATAGTGTTCATTGTTTTGTTTTTATTGGTCTGAAGTTATGGGCAGCTATTTAGAGGATAGCAGGAGGCATTGTGGTGACCATTGTTGACTTCCTATTGTCTTGCTTTGAAATCTTGTATTGCTTATATTGTTTTGTTTTGATTGGCTTTAGTCTGTTTTATTTTGTTTGATTTTATTCTCTTTAAATTAAAATTACAAAAAAAGACAGCATGAAATTAGAAAAATAGAAAATATTTGTGGATTAGTAGAACAGTAAAGATGATGTAGAAACAATTCTAGCAAACTTTAGCTATCTTATCTTTGAAAAAAGGGAAAAGATAGCTTCTTGAACAAATGGTGCTGGGAAAACTGGCTTTCCACATGCAGAAGAATGAACCTGGACACACATCTCTCACCATGGACTAAGTTAAAATTGAAATGAGACTTCCGGGAGAACATGGTGGATAGATAACAGCAGCTATGGAGGCTCTCTAAGATAGCTAGCTTAGATTCCAGGAATGGTGCCGTGTG